TTAAATAAAAGAACCGAAAAAATATGAATCAAATAGAATAGCTGGAAGCAGGATAATAATCTAATTCTACAATTAACTCACATTCAAGAATATGGTACACGGTTTTTAAGCACAACACACGCGGAGTAAAAAAAAAACACTACCCTCCACCAGCACGCCAGGGTCGGCACCGGTCGGCACTGTCGTTCCTGCAGTGCTCCCTCCCCCCTGCAGCCTCGCGTGTAGCTTCCTATGTGCGCATGCACACAGTCAACGAACACCTCGCCGCTGGAACTGTGAAACTCACAGTTCCATACAAAGATTTGGCTACTGACATTAAGTTTAAGGATTATATATTGTACTGTACAAGTATAAAGAAAGAATTAAAGAAAAAAGGACTCGTTATATAAATGTTATCGATAATATCAAGTGGAAATTGGGGGTGCTGCAGTCCCGCAGTGCCTATACGCGGGCCGCCCCTGCAGTAATCATTAGTAAACTGTTACAAGTAAATCTGTGATAAGTAAATAGCAGTTTCTATCATACAGATTCCTACTCGTTATTCCCTGTGACCAGACACATTCTTAATAAAGAGCAGAATAATAAACTGTGCCATACCGTTTGACAGATTTCATTTTATGCCCAGTCCCAATTATTACATGTATTATGAATTAGAATACAAGGGTTAGAAGGCAGGTCTACTATAGACTACATTATTTTTTGGTATTAGTTTTAAATTAAATAAAATGTCCGCAATTATATAACAGTTTTTGTATGCATATCATTGTGGGAAGCTCTGGATGGGCTTGGAGACTTCAAAGTAGGAGGGCAAATTATTCAAACTGTGAAATATGCAGATGACCTTGTGTTAATGGCTAAGGAAGAAACTGTGCTACAGGGTGTGATTGATAGACTAATTGAAATTGGAAGGTGCTATGGCATGGAAATAAATGTGGAGAAAACAAAAGTAATGAAAATTTCGAGGCGACCAACCCCAGTCACAATACTGATAGACCAAAAACAACTGGAGAATGTGAAATGTTTTAAATATTTGGGTAGCTTGTTAACAGATGATGGAAGGTGTACTAGTGAAATTAAATCCAGGATTGCCATGGCAAAAGCTGCATTTAGCAAGAAGAAGAATCT